GTGTGTGTGTGTGTGTGTGTGTGTGTGTGTGTGTGTGTGTGTGTGATCCTCATGAGAGAGTGGTCATCTCCTCCCCCATCCAGCCCCTTCCTCCCCGTAGCTGTACCCTTCCTCCTAGAGGATCAGGAAGCAGACACAGACTGAGCCATATGGAAGGAACTGACACCAGTATTAGGGGGACAGACTCTTGAGAGGACTCAGATCTGAGAATAGCACCCTCCCCACCTTGAGGGCCCTGGCCACTCTCGGGCCCCCACACCTACTTCCTGGCTCTGCTGAATAACCTTTGAGATGGGCCTCAGGAGGAAAGGATTCTAGAGCGGGGTCCTGAGTGAGGAAAGGTAGGTCCTGGAGCGGTGACATGTGGGAAGCAGGGCCGGAAGCTTTACCTGGGCTCTCCGAAGCAAGCTCAGGAGCCCTGTATCTGTGCAGCTGCTGCGGATGGGCCCCCAGGTCCCGTCAGTCCCACAAGTCCTCTTCACCATGCCCGTTCTGTTCACGGAACATGGGGCCTGTGCCTCATGGCCAGCCTTGGTGACATTCCAGGCAATAGCTGAGGAGTCCTCAGGGCAGGTAGTGTCTCCATCTGAAGAAGGATACCAGAGAGGGCTCAGCAGCCGCAGTCTAGCCCGGAGCCTGTCCTTGGGCAGAAACCCATGCAGGCTCTGGAGCCTGGCCCTGGTGCCTGGTGCAGGGAAATGTCAAGGAGGAGCTCCCAGGGCAAGCAGGTGAGAGAGAGGTCGGCCAGCTGGACCTCAAGCCCCACGTACCCTGGATGATGGTGACAGAGACAGGGACCTTGAGAGGGGTCAGTCCTGGGCTCTGTAGGTCACAAGTGTACGTGGTGTCGGCTGTAGGGCAGTGCTGAACGGCCAGCACCAGGCACTGGTCTCCTGGTGTGTTGAATACGAAGGCTGAGGGTGAGCGAGAGAAGGAACAGTCATGGGCCAGGAACGGACCTAGAGCCCAGCCGGCCCAGAGATGCCGCTTCTGTCTTTCTAGCAATTTCAGAAGCACATGAAGCAGTGGGGAAGAGCCGAGTGGTATGAGGGCATCAAACTACTGAAAGCAGGGCTTGGATTTTTGGAGAAGGGCACTGTGGGGGTCTCTAAGTAGCCTGGGGACTTGAAGCCACAGTTTCCTCATCTGTAAAATGGGGCTATCATCAAAACCAACCTCACAGGGTGTATTGCAATAGTTGAACAAGAGTGTGTGGATAAAAGCATTTCACAAAAAAATGATCTACTCTCATATGGTTATTGATGTACTGATAGAATTGGGATTGTTCTATGGGGTAAAATCAGTGTTGGACTTGGACCCAGAACTCTCAGAATGAACTGCAGCCTCTGCTTCCGGTGAGCTGGAGAGCCAGCTGCCTAGAGGAGACTAGCTGTCCCACCTTTCCCTGACCCCAGACAGCCAACCCCTTTCCATACCTTTGCTGTCTGCTCCAGGGCTCCAAGAAGCCGAGTAGCCCAGGTGTGTGTTGGGGATGCAGCAGCTTAGCTGGAAGCCAGAGGAGGTGGCACAGGAGATGGAGAGCTGGTCTGGAAGTCGAGCCACGTCTGTCGCCTGCAGGGGCACCCTCACCATGTGGTACAGCTCCCACCTGAATCCCTGGGCCTCAAAGCAGCACATGTACTCACCTGCAGACACACACCTGCTGTACCTCCTGGCTCCTCCGGCTCCCACCTGTGCCACAGAATCCCTGCTGCTTCCCAAGCCACACCCTAGGCTGACCTTCCTGGTCCAGCTTCTGCTAAACCCCAGCAAGGAAGATCCCTGTCCCCAGAAAGATTTCTAGGAGGAAGAAGAGATCTAGAGAAAAGGATCCTGACCCCATAGCCATGAATTCTAAGGTGAACCCCTCTCCCTCTAGTGGGTGCGCTTTCTGCATCACCCTCTGCCATTTCGACAGTTTGAAGAGAAGCACGACCTGTTCTCAGTTGAAATCAAAATCATATTTTCAGCATTCTCCCCTTATAATTTTGCACATCAATAGGCCACTTAGCCTTTGTTTCCCAGAATGAATAAATGGAAAGATGAAAAAGGAAGGGAAGAGGAGGACTAAAGAAGGAAGGAGGAGAGAGGGAAGGGGAAGAGAAGAAGAGAGAAGGGGAGGGAAGCGTAGGCTGGCTACCTTCCCACTGATGGGACATGTTGCAGATGCTGAGGACAGCCTGGCCCTGGCTCGAGGTCAGGGACACATGTGCCCCTGGCTGCAGGGGGATGGGGCTGGGGCTTCCTGTGCGCCGCAGGAACCAGTTCAGGTTCGTGGTCTCCTGGCTCGTGAGGAGGGTCAGGTTCAACGTGTCTCCAGGCACCTGCAGCCAGGTGTTCAGCCTCAGGGTCCCAGGGACTGCAGGGAGGCAGGAGACAGAGGCTGCTGGGTGGGGCGGGAACTCATGGTCTTCCATGCAGCTAAGCTCTCACCGCTTCCCAGTCCTCTGAAGCCCATTCCTCCTCCCTCACTCCCTGCCTGGCGTTTTTGTTTTGTCCCTAGATGAGCATGGCTGCTGCAATCCAGCCTGGAAGGCTGCAAGCATCTGTCATTGGAAACCAACCAGGGAAACTTTCTGGCCCATGACTTCCCCTTTCCCAGCGAGGGAACTTTCTCTCCCTGTGGGTATGTTTCCAGAGCCCTGGTTTTCATTCGTCTCACTGCTCAGGTCCCAGTCTTGGGGCTTGTGATCTGTTATGGTGGCTGGCATTTTCTCCCACCCAGTGGAGCTGTTGAGCTTGGGCCAGCTGGCAGAAATACAGGAATCAGAGTGGTGGGGGGAACACAGAGGTTTCTTTCACTTGGTCCCATTGGTTTTCAAGTTCCCAACCCTCCTCACCAGGTGGCAGCAACTGGCAGTACCCAGCTTCAGTAGGGCTGAAGATGAGACAGCCACAGGGATGGTAGTTGTAGAGGGCTTGGCAAGGATGGTGATGGGAGCAGACACTGGCGTTCCACTGGTATCCAGAGAGGCAAGCACAATAGGCAAACCCATCGGGCTTGACATTGCACTCTGCGACAGAGGGAAGGGGAATAATAAGTAGGCAGGCTGCCTGAGAAAGCCAGGTAAGCAGGACCAACAACTTCCTGATGCCTGAGGGCCTCTCAGGCTGGGTATCTGGAGCAATCCCAAAGTCACAGGCACTCAGTCATGCTCACCTACCAGGGACTGCCTCCCCAGCCAGTGTTCAAAGCAGTGGAGGTAATTCTGGGCAAAGGTGTCAGGGGTGGGGATGGAGTAGTCTGCGCCTCCATGGTTTGCCCCTTGGGCCCTGGTTTAGAAGATGGCCACATGGAGTAGGAGGGGAAGGGTCTCTCTGGTGGGGGTGGGGGGGGGTGAGGAAGGAGCGGGGCCATGCAGACCCTTCAGGAAACAGGGAGAGGCTGGCAGCATCTCAGGCCAGCTGGCTGCAGGGGGACTGGGAAGGCTCTGTCCCTTCACTCTGAGCCCCCTTTATATGCAATCGGTGGCACTGAGAGGCAGGAGTCAGTAGAATTTTTCTCCCAACCTGTTGTGAGGCTGAGGCCAGTGAGAGTTCTTGGTGAAGAGGAAACCGAGGCAGGGGGCAGGGTGAAGGTTCTAGAGAGTGTCATTGACCAGGTCTCATCTGAAAAGTCCAGCTGTACATAGACGGAGACCAGGACTGCTTCTACAGGAGAGGAGGGGACAGCTGGAGAGGAGAGGCCATGAGGCCACGGGCCAGTCCCCTTTTGCCTCCCCTACCTAGCTGGTCATTGCCAGGAACCTGGAGCAGATCCCGCCTCCCATAGCCTGTCTAGGTACAGTCAGGACTCAGAAGGGTAATAACTAACTCCTCATCTAGCTATGGTACATTCAGACAGCCTGTTTCATGTCACTCTCCCAACAACCCCCATTTTACAGACAAGACTCTCAAAGACCAATGATCTTCTCAAGGCCTCACAGCTAGAGAGCCGGTGTGCAAGCCTGCCTGACCGACGCCAGATCCAGTCCTCTCTCTTTACCCACCATCCCTCCATGTGGCCTCTCCCAGTCCTTTCCACCTCATTCCCTGATCCCTCTCCTCCTCCTCTGTCCACTCACCACCTGCTCCATGCTCTTGGTTCAGTTGCTTCCCAGATTCCCCGCCAACCTGACTGGGTTCCTAGAACAGACCACAGAGGAGGGACCTTTGAGGAGAGGCTGGTGCCAAGTTCCTCCCAGGGATGCTTTCTTCCCCAGGTAGCTCAGGGGGCCAGCCTAATCTTGCATGACATGGTCTCTTTGAAGCTCCTCTTTTTGCCTGGAATCAAGCAGGTCCATCTGGAGGGGAAAGCAGGCTCCTGGCAGATGTGAGGGATGCAGCCCCAGGGCCTGAACCTAGCAACCAGGCACATCCTGGACAGTCAACATGCTTTGCTTAATTCCTTCCTGAATTTACCTGTCCCTGGGCCTCTAGGCTAATTGAAATGGCTGGACCTGGAGCCCCAGGGAAAGGGCAGGACAGAGCTGGCTGGGGCCCAGAGGCTTGGGGGTTTCTTCTGTTGCCTCCATAGGAATTGCCATGGGGGTGAGCAGAGGCAGTACCTTCCCTTAGTCTCTCATTCCTATAATTTATTCCTCAGCAATTTCTCCTTCCCTCAAAATGTTACGTGTATGTAAATATCTATCTGAAAAAGGATACGAGTGGAGACAGAGATAGAGATAGCCAACTGGGGGAAAACACACAAGAAAAATTGCAAATCTAGACCCTGCTGCCTTTCCTCAGATTCTCTCTTGTCCTCTTACCAATGGTCCCCAAACCTGGGAAGGTTTTCTTTGCTTTTCATGTTTAAATTGCAAGCTCGACTTTGGATAAAAAGAGGCTTTATCCCAAGTGCAGCAGGCATCACTGGAGTTCACAGGGACTCAAATAAAGAAAGCAAGCCATCCCCACACCCTGGAAAATACGACTGAACATGCAGAGACCTTATAACAAGCCTGTTTCTGTTTTTATACATTATTTCCTCTCCCTTCAGCCCTTTCCCCTCCAACCAATCGTTTCATCCACGCCTTGCTGCCTCTCACACCCAGAGGCCCCTATTGTCACCTCTGCAGACCTTCCCAGGGTCCTCATCCCAATCTTACTCACAGGTTGGGATGTTCGGGCAACCGGTGACCCCACAAGGGGGAAAGTCATGGCCAAGAGTAGCACAGGGGCAGCCGAACACACCATGGCTTCGGGAAGCCGTCCTCAAGAGCCCTCCCTCTCCAGCATTATGCAAATTTCCTCGGAGAAGAGCTGGCTGGACAGTGCACAGATGGGCTGGGAGGGAAGAGTGGAAGGGAGCCAGGGCCAAATTTACAGAGGAAATGCTACAGCCCGTGACTGAGACAAATGAGCAACCAGGTCACTGTGGGGCCACCTGGAGCCCACATGCCTCCATGAGAGGAGTCTGCCCAGATGGCCCCGGGGGTCTGGACTGAGGATTCAGTGAGCAGGAGAGGACTTAGGGATCCTAGTCACAACCAGCAATGTGTCGGTAAGTCAGGTTCAGTCATGTCCTCAAGGGTCTGGGAAATCTGGATTGTTCTGGAACTCCCAGGAAGCTGGATTGTTGTTCACAGTCAAGCTTAGAAAAAACCAACACTAGAGCTGATTGCTATCCTCACATAATTTCCAGATAGGCTAGAGTCTTAAGAGTAACAAAGAATCTGGAGAAATACTAGGAGAAATTAGCAAGTAATTTCACAAAATAATTTTGAAGTGGAGAATGCTTTTCTAAACAAGACACAAAACCCTGAAACCAGAAAGGAAATAAATTGTCTAAAAAGATTTAAATTGGGGATGAAAAGTATGTTAGGGTAAAAAGGCAAAAGGCAACATTTGTAGCATGATGATTGCATAAAGGGCTAATTTTCCTTTTTTCTTTTAAATTATAGTTCACATTCAATATTATATTAGTTTCAGGTGTACAGCACAGTGGTTAGCATCTATGTAAGTTAGGAAGGGGTCATCCTGTCCCCGATAAGTCTAATACCCATCTGGCACCATACGTAGTTATTACAATATTATTGACTATATTCCCTAGGCTGTACTTTACATCCCCGTGACTATTTTGTTAACTATCAATTTGTACTTCTTAATCCCTTCACCTTTTTCACCCAGTCCCCCAATCTCCCTTCAATCTGACAACCATTGGTTTGTTCACTGTATCTGTGAGTCTGTTTCTGTTTGGTTTGTTCATTTATTTTGTTCTTTAGATTCCCCATATAAGTGAGATCATGTGGTGTTTGTCTTTCTCTATCTGACTTATTTCACCTAGCATGATACCCTCTAGGTTGATCCATGTTGTCATAACTGGTAAGAGTTAATTCTTTTTTATGGTTGAGAAATATTCCTTGTATATATGTATTACTTCTTCTTTATCCACTCGTCTACTGATGGGCACTTAGGTTGCTTCCGTATCTTGGCTATTGTAAATAATGCTGCAGTGAACATAGGAGTGCATATATGTTTTCAAATTAGTGTTTGGGAATTCTTTGAACAAATACCCAGAAGTGGAACTGCTGGGTCATAAGGTAATTCTATTTTTAATTTTTTGAGGAACCTCCATACTGTTTTCCATGGTGGCTGCAGCAATTTGCAATCCCACCAATAGTGCATGAGGGTTTCCTTTTCTCCACATCCTCACCAACACTTGTCATTTGTTGATTTAAAAATGATAGCCATTCTGACAGGTGTGAAGTGATATCTCATTGTAGTTTTAATTTGCATTTCTTTGGTGATTAGTGACATTGAGCATCTTTTCATATGTCTGTTGGACATCTGTATGTCCTCTTTGAAGAAATGTCTATTTAGGTTCTCTGCCCTTTTTTTTCCTCTTTTTTAAAGATTTTTATTGGGGAATTGGGGGATGGGAACAGCGCTGGGGAGTTGGGGGAAGGGGAACAGACAAGTTGCTGTCGTTTTGTTCTTCAGTCTAGTTGTGGAGGACGTTGCTTCACTG